AAAATCACATTGAGAATATTTGATCAATGTTGAAATATATTATTGGTCTAAAAAAACTAAAACCTGTACACCTTGGAAATTAAAATCAGGACTTGCAAGAATGCCAATGAATAATCAAAAATAGTGAAACAAGCAGGATCTTTATGTATGAGCTAATGTGCGCGTGAATTATTCTACCTATATACAATTGCGGCAAAATCCGTCGTAGTGGAATGCAGTGTCATCGCAATTTAATGGAGTATTCAGCAACCGATAATATGATACATAGAGCTTTGTGGAAGCAGAATTTTCCATCCGATTTATTGGTACAAAAAGTTGCGCGATTGATCTAGAGCCTTTTGTACCTCTTCTTTAAGAAAAGAACTTTAATGATAAAGATAGAAAAACTAGTTTAATTTCGATATATGAATTATTTCGTGAATACAAGATGGAAAAATATATTTGTCTTATGTCGATTATTATTTTTTACTGTCATAATTAAACGTAATTTTCACGCGTCTATGTCAAAGTATGTACTCGTTAAAATTACATTATTTTCAATCTCTGCTCAATGACGATAGCACTTCATGGGTGCAGCAGCGGTATGCGGTGGATTTTAAAGGCGACGCACAGCACTGCGGCGCGCGCAGTTAGTTTCATGAGGTGACGGGTGGTGGTTTCGTTCTCTCTCTCTCTCTTTCGCTCGCTCTCACCTCTTTTCCGTTCCCTCTCTTCGAGGTTAAGCCGTGACAGTATCGGACGTCATTCGCGACGACGCGACGGCGAGAAACGGTGGTTAGCGTATCGAGAGGCACGCGCGCGACGGTTGGTTTCCGTTCATCATGACAGAGGAGGCCCGCAAGGAGGTTCGCGTTTGGTGCGATGGATGGTGAGTAACGATGTGGTGCAGATTTTGCGTCGAGAATTGTGGACGTGCAGGATGTGAATCAGCCGTCGCTGATAAAGGCGTCGCTGTATCGTCCGACCGGACATACCATGACACACACGTGTCGTTTCTTGTTCTCGGTGCGTGGATTTTCTCACACTATCATAAGCTTTCACCCGTGGAAACACGATCAATCGATATGACTTCGTCGAGGGTTAGAAAAATGAGCTTTTAACCTTCGTTCCGGCGACGCGACTAAGATTACAATTAAAATACATTTCTGAATTAACGTTCCTTAAATTTCTTCGTCAGTTACTATGTGATTGTTGCTTGTACACATAAGAGTTATTTATATAAATTTTATATATAAAAAAAGAAAAAAAAGAGGGAAAAGAATTCTATCTTTGTGTTAATGAAGCGTACGTGAAAGTTAATCGATAGCCGAAAGTTATGTTGTATGTGCAATTGGCAATAAAGGCATCACTTAATCAGTGATGTTTGATTGGAACGAGCAACTCGCCGTGGCACAATTCATTATACGTCCTCGCTCCGCGTTTCGCACACACCGGGGCGGCTACGGATGACAGACTGCCTTCGTGGATAGAGTCGAATTTAAGCTTGTTTGATTCTAAGCTACAATACTTTTTTATCTTCTATATAATAACGCAAATACAACATTTGAATTGTCGAAATAAAAATAAAACCGTTTTTTTTATTTATCGATCGATTAATGTCGTCAGCAGCCATTCGAAATAATCAGTTAAAAATAATTTGGAAACGTACAATTAGTAATCGCACGACGTTTCTTACATTTCTTCCTTATTTGTAATAATTGTAATTTTTTTTTGTTGACGTAAGACTCGGAATATGCGATCCCCCGACTATAACTTATTTATTTTGTATGCAAATCTATGTTCGCATACTTAATATGTAAACACGTCATTGATCGATCAGTATTGCGCAAAAACCTGCAGACTTATCTGATTTTTAGCTTTAAGTTTTATTTTATTGAGTTCATCACTTTGTACGACCTTGTTTAATTTGAAAACGGTAGAAACAGCATGAGTATAAATTAGTTTGTTATCGGAATATAATTCTGTCTTATCGCAAGTCACACCGATATAGTAGTTATCAAAGCAATTTTAAAATGTTAAAGCTTAACAACAAAGTATTTCTTTTGAATTTGAACGAAAAAATTTTTGACTATAATTTTAATATAATGTTATGTAATGTAATGTAATTTTAATGTATAATGTCAATCGAACATAATTGGCATAAATTGGCAGATAAACAGTTTACATAGATTTATATATTATATTTGAATATTATCTATATATCTATATATCATTATTCTTATCACATTTATAGGAAAAATAATACGTAATTTTTTTTTGATTAAATATCATTTGGAAATATTTATTCGGAATAATATAAATTTTATTTTATATTACATTACATTCCTTTTTTTTGTTATTAACTGAATATATTTAATCGAATGTATTTAATTGAATAAATAATGAATCAGGTTTATTTACATTTAATTACAAATTGAATGTTGTTGGTTGCAGTTATGATATGGTGCACTTTGGTCATGCTAATTCTCTGAGGCAAGCTAAAGCTTTAGGAGATTATTTGGTGGTAGGTGTTCACAACGATGAAGAAATTACGAGACACAAGGGGCCTCCGGTCTTCACTGAACAAGAAAGGTATCTTACTTCATCAAAAGGAAATTACGCAAGACATAATAACTATTCTGAAGTATCATTCTGAAGTCATCATTCTGAAGTTTGTTATTATGTGTTAATCAATCTTTCAAGTTCCACACATTTACCTTCTGGAAATACATTGTGTTAGCGGATATTTTTTACTAAACATTTCCTGTATCTGTTTTAGATATTTTATACATCTATAGGGCTATACATTAGTATCTATAATTCTATTCATCATTATTTCTATATACATTATAATTATTTATATTAACATTAGTGTTCTTAATGTTTTGTAGAATATTAGATTATCATGTTTTAATATTTTATTTTACATTGTATATTTTGATAAATATTAGTACAGAAATATTGACAATATACATTTATATACCCTACAATTATATCACTTTTCTTTACAAATGTTTAGCTTTACTAATTTATTTCAAATCACAATGTTATACATTTTGTATTCTTACGAAGAAACTTGCGCAGAAAAAAATAGAGCATGTTTTATCATAAAACACACATGTGTCATTTTTCTATTTGTAATATGAATAATTTATATTACGTTTATCATATCTCTGATCTTGACACACTAGAAAATATCTTAGTCATGTTGAATATGTTTACAGAAGTTTTGTATCATTGAAGATAAAAAGTTTATGTATTCTAAAGCTATAATCTTACTAGGAGTAGGTCGTAGTAGGTCTTGGAACCTTGACATTTCGGGTCAATAGATGTATAGAATAAACTAACTTAAACTAGCTAAAGAACGTAATATGACATTACTACATAAGAAAAATTCTTGTTTTTTTAGTTGCGTTTATACAATAATTGCAATATCAATTAAAGATTATAATTGTACAAGTTACAGCAATATGTTATTTTTGTATGAAATTCTTTAAATGAAATTTACAATTGCTTATAATTTACAAATATTTTGTGAAGAATTACTTAAATATGTAACAAATAGACAATGATAATAAATATGCAAGATAACATTATTGATTTAATTATAATACAAATCATTCACATTTTTATTTGTCTCATGTAGAAGTTTGCTCGTAAGAATATATGATGCATTTTTAATCACGGCGTGATTAAAAATGAATTATTACAACATTAACAATTTAATAATTATACATATTAACATTTATATATTAAATGAATTTATTAAATTGTTTTTTTCTGCTTAGGTACAAAATGGTGCGCGGCATTAAGTGGGTAGATGAAGTAGTTGAAGCTGCGCCCTACGTCACTACATTAGAAACATTAGATAAGTACAATTGCGATTTTTGTGTTCACGGGGATGATATTACAATGACGGCTGATGGAGTAGACACATATCATCTAGTCAAGGCAGCTGGTCGTTACAGGTATAGTTCTTTAAACTTTAAAAAGAACAATATATTATTTTAATGTACAGTTAAATTTTTATTCGAAGATTGTGCAACTTTTTCTAACAACACTTTATTATTTCAGGGAAGTTCAACGAACTGCTGGCGTTTCAACGACGGATCTTGTAGGACGTATGTTATTGATGACACGACAGCATTTTCGGCAGGGCGATAACGAGTACAGTGTCGATAGAGAACCGAGCAAGCGTATGGGACAAGATCGTACTGCTCGGAGTCCGTGGACTGGTTGTTCGCAATTTTTGCCAACTACCCAAAAAATTATACAATTCAGCGACGGCAAAAGTCCGCAGCCGGACGACAAAATCGTATACGTTGCCGGCGCATTCGATCTCTTCCATGTGGGACATTTGGATTTCCTGCAGGTCGCCAAGAAGGAGGGCGACTACCTCATTGTCGGCTTACACACGGATCCCGCTGTTAACCGATACAAATGCGGCAATCATCCCATTATGAATCTTCACGAACGAGTTCTCAGTGTGCTAGCGTGCAAGGTGAGTCTCGCTCGCACCGATTATTCATATCTGCAACGCATATTGTGGTAGAATGTAACATGTATTATGTTATATATATGTAAGATGTAATTTCTACAGTTTCTGTAAAACTATGATACATTTTCTACGGTGAAAAAACCTTTAATATTCCATTATTTGAGATAACAGAAGTGAATTCTTTTTTGCATTTACAGTATGTAAATGAAGTTGTAATTGGTGCTCCTTATGAAGTAACGAGAAATCTGATGGAACATTTCAATGTGTCTGTTGTGTGTCATGGACAAACGCCTATAATGCCATGTGAGGATGGCTCAGATCCGTATGCGGAACCGAAAAGGCAAAATAAATTTAAATTGTTAGATAGTGGTAACGACATGACGACGGAAAAAATTGTTGAAAGAATCATTCTTCACAGGTATGTTTTGTCTTTTTGTTATGTCTTGACACACTTTTTATCAGATCCTTTTAAATGCAATTTTTATAAATTTATGTAGATGTTTTTAATCACAGTTTATACCTATCCTCATAATACTTTATGTATTATGCAAACATTTCTTTAGCTAAAATTTTTGAATAAATTATTTACATATGAGTACATATTCTTTCATGACGGTATATTCAATTCAATAATATCAAATTAAACATACATATGTATTATTTGTTAAAATTACATACTTATATAACAACTTTATTATACTTCAATTAAGTGTATTACTTGAAATGATAACACATTGTGCGTTACTCGGATGGATGATTATATTATTGCAATTTGATTATATGTGTAAGGACATTTGCTCATGAGGTATCATATATTTCGTTTAAACTTTTATGAACTTGAATATATATAGGATATATATTTTTCTATACTCTACTCTACTCTACTTTCATTTATATTTACAGATAAGATTACAAATTTCAAAATATTTTTAATTAGACAAAGAAGTTTTTAGAATTTACTTATTAATTTTTTATATTCTACTTTTTATCTTCTTAGGCCGATCGAGCTTTGTACGGTTATAAAGAAATTCAACAAACATTGGTAGTTGGATTCTGATTTTACACTCTTTCTTTAATTATTGGGTATTTCAACAATCGTTAATTGAAACAATGGTTGCTTTGTATTCTTTATTCAACTTGCAATAAATAGATGTTTATTTACTTCGTATTATAATTTATTGTCATTCATTCATTTTCTGATGGGATATGTAATTTTATTCATCTCGTGAAGTATTTTTTGAGTTCTATTTCTCTTTATTCTCATTTATCATCATATATGTAACAACTTTTTCTTTTGAATGAAAACAGCATTCACATATCCCAACAACTATATAGATATTCCTATTACGTGTTGATCTTAGCGTCTAATTGCAGGTTGGAATACGAGGATAGAAATTTAAGGAAGGAGAAAAAAGAGCTTGCCGCTTACGAAGTCTTCACGAAGTCTAACAAAAATGACAGGATTGAATAACTATCTTTTTCTTCGCAAACGTTTGCGGTGTGTATGTGTGATAATCAGATTTTATATAAAGTCAATATGTAAATATGATGTCACACCGACACTTAATTTATCATTTCAAAATGCCTTACATAGAATAAATATTAAAGTAAATATTTATAATTATTCAATGTGCTAGAATTGGTTAGCAACGTGGAAATGAACGCTGATTTTAATTTATTGCAATATGCAGTGAAAAATAGTAAACGGACGATGATTGTCAAATCGGTCGAACATTTTATATGCCAGGTGTGTCAGAACTATCGCTATTTTTATCATTTGTATGATTTTTTATCAATCTTAAGTTCGTTTTCTTTAATAAACGTGTGTCTAGGATTAAAAATGGGTAATAATATTTTATCATTGCTATTTTGCTTATTTTTACTTTAAATAGAAAAATATGATGTTATTATAAGATTGAAAAACTATTTAATACTATTATGTAATACGTATATGCGACATTTTCTTACAAATCAATTATTTATCGATCTGCGAGAAACAGAACTCAAAAATTGTATTACAAAACAAACTTTATCTTAGTCTTTAAATTAAATTACGAGTATATTATAAATATCATACTGATTGTTGGGCTGAACTTCTCAGCTTAAATAATCTAACTTTGAATTTTGATTTCTAGTCGCAGGCGATAGTTCTGGAACATTATATATCGATTCTTTGAAAACGAGGATTGTTTTAAAAATATATCGTATGTTATAAAGCTTTTAAATGTAGATATACTTAGTAATTATCGTTTTATCACACAATGTATGGACATTGTGATGTCGTTGCTTAATTCGGACATTGCAAAAAATAATCATAATGTGATTGTAATAAATAATCTTGTTGGATGTATTATAAAAATTAAAATCTAATATTCTTTAAGTCAAGACGTTGAATTTCGACTACTTTCGCACATGTACTGTTTTCTTTCATCACGCAATAATTTTATTCTATCGTTCTATATTTTCTTTCTGCTTTTTTCGCATATGTTATAGCATTTGTTGTTTGTTCAAAGCTTCAAAGTTTTCGACAAATGCAAACAAATGCAAATATTGAACCGAATATTGATGTTCGGTTTTCAGGAAATAATCATACTCGTCGTGCAATATAAATGTTTATGTATGTTTATATTTATGAAATATTTTACGCGCTTAAAAACGAAAATGTATCAAAACACGATTGTGTACATGAATGAATATTTTATCCATGAATCATGAAATAGTCGAGATTGGCAAGTAAAGAGCTAGACTCGATTTGGTCTAATCAATTGGAAGTTCCTATGTATTTACAAATGCCTATCATATATTTCTCGACGATGCGTTTTATTTGTCACTGGCGGATATTTAGACAGATATTTAGACTGAATTTTGCGGTTTATAAGATTGATTAGCATTACGACAGGCATGCGTGTCAGATAAATTATGATGCGTAATTGAAGTATTAGGTTTTTTAAATTAGAATATCCTTCTCAATATCCAAAAATATCAACAGAACCAAAGAAGCTAGTTTAAAGCGCACATCAGATAGATTGAACGAGTTCCGTATGTCTGAATTTTAACTGTTTGTGTCTGAGGAACGAGAAAAATGCTTAGTTATTTGTTCATAAATTTAATCGTGCTGTAGCATACAGAATGTTCTAGATAAACTGAATTTGAACATTAAACGATTCCGCTTATTGATGTATGACGTCAATGATATGATGATCTGTCAAGCCTTCAACAAGCCAGAATCAATAGGACGGATAATTTATGGTTGAATGAACAATTGTTGGGCAATTCTGAAACATTATATAACGAACACAAGCAAATTCCTCTATACGCAATGTGACGATATAAGTACTATGGTAATGATATTGGCGCCAATAAATTTATAGCGATAATTAAACTAGATTACGCAGGAAGAAGATTGTATAGTTTGTGATTTTCTACCGAAGAATACGACGCTGAATAAAAATTGTAAAAATAGTGCGCAGAATTGTCTAATCCTTTATTTTATAATAAATAGTCATTGTACACGATCAATCTACGATAACTATCTATATTTATATATTACATTTCCTATTTACTGTCACAAATCGCTAAGGATCAATTATAGTATTCTTAGACTTGAGCTGCACTATTTTGTGCAAGTACTTTTGTTTCTTCTCGCATGATTGATTGATGTTATTAAATATATAATACTTAAACTTTTTTATAGAATATTTTTTAAACCAATTTTATACAAATTTATAGAATATTGAAAGAGATTATTATTACTTACACATTGTAAGATATTTTAGAGATATTGGTTAAATTACTTGACTCAAGTTTATCAATTGTTCTAATAATATTCAGCTATGTATATCAATTTTAGATATTTTTATAAAAAACTATTCTTTCTGCGATAAATTCTTTTTGTTTTGCTGATCCAACAAATTTACAAAATTTGCCAAACTTTCTTCTAAAATATCTTTTTATATAATTAAACAGTATATAAATTTTTATTTTGTGTGTGTGTGTGCGTGTGTGTGTGTATCTTTAACTTTGCCGTTCTTAGCAATAAATAAATAAATAAATAATTAATAAATATACATATGGTTTATTGTACATACACGCATTTAAAGCGAGGAAGACAAATGATGATTGTCTTGGCAATCATGCGGAGATTATCAGGTACAGAAATGTGTACAACTCATATTTTATTAGGTTTATATGTAACGAAAACTACACCACAGTGATTCAATTTTTTGATTACGCAAGTCGTAATTGCTGCATCGCGAATATCTGTAGTAATCATACATTTTGGCAATTATTCATTGCTTGAATCAGCATCTGACAAAAGTTCGCATTTGTACTAATATACTTTTAATTAATAAAATATGTGATTACTTAAAGAGCGTATGCAATTTGCGTATGCAATTTTAAACTGATATACATAATAAAAAATAAATTTTTTGTCAATTTTAAAAGTGCGCGCTCAGCATCGATGAATTATCAATATTACCAATATCTTAATATTAAAATTTTTCGATAAACTATTGTGGTGACCAGAAAAAGAGGGCGTGCGGAGCGTTGAATAATTAAAATTTTGAATTTTGGCAATATTGCATGCATTTTCCAACCGTCATGATAGTTTATTTCTATAAACATGAATGCAAATCGTAAAAGCTCCGTAATTAACGACGTAATTTACGCGATTTTACGTTAAAAGTATATAATGAGTGCGAATTTGTGACTAGAGTGCCGATTAAAACGACGCGCGATTACTGGAACGTATTATTTATAGCGAATGTTCATGTTTCAATCGTAATTAGAATCGAAGTAATATGGGCGCGCGTGTACGTTTGTCGATACCTTTTTTATTTTTCTATCATTATCATTGTTTTTCTTTTTTTATTTTGAAAGCGTGTATCGAATTTACGTTCGAAAATGTAAAGTGACAATACGCGTCGCGACGTGAAATGCTCTTTGTTTCGCGTTTGTGTTTCGTAGCGTAGTCAGAATTTTGTTTGCGATTTTCGTGTTTTTTTAGTAATAAAATGCGCGAGTGTTGATTTTCATCTACATATATGGTACACATAATTAATTGTAAGTGTTTAAGGCAGTCTAAGACGAAATCTGATCTGCTGATGATTCAAGCAAACTGATATAACCTAAATGTTTTAGTTGGTAAGTATAATTATTATTTTGATTATTATGCACATAATTATGATAATACACATATATAATGGTAATTTATTAAATTTTTATTAAGATCTTTGCAAGTATTTATTAAAACGTTTATGAATATTTATTAAAAATTTTTAAATAATTAATCATGTAATTTATTGCGTATAATTAATGAAAATGGAAATAAATAATACGTGAGGATCAACATACAAAAAATGTATGATTCTTAATGACTAAAATATATATTAATTTCTCCAGGTACAGCTGAGAGGGTGTGTACATAACTAGGTTACAACGACCGGTGAGTGAATTCATTCATTATACTTGTGTAATTACATAAAATATTGATATTATCTTTTCTCGCGCTATTTATTATATAATTGTTAAGAACCGTATTTTGACACATTTCACAAATCACATTTTCTATGATTTATGGTTTTACAAATAATTATTAAAATACAAAATTACTTTTTATCTACCTAAACAAAGAAAAATTTTTACAATTTGCACAAATTATATATTATTCGTAAAATTAGAAAATTTTGGATATATAAGTTATAGAATATGTATGTAGAAAACAGTTTTTTATGAGGACACAAATTATAAGAAATAATTTATAAAATTATATATAATGAAATTTAAAATTTAAGAGGTATAATTTTTAAAAATATTATCCATATAATTCTAACGTGAATATGTTTTCACTTAATTTAATCAATCGTTCGAGATTTTTGCAAAAAAGTCAATTGTCAAAGTACGGTTGTGTAATTTGTTGCTGTGATGAGAAGGTCGTGATTATTAATACAATAATTTATACAACATCCTTTTATGACGCACATTTTATCGAACGATTCTTTTCTTCCGTCGAACAAAATTCGAGAGTCTTTTACATATGACACGGTTCGCGAAAAAGCCTCTTACTAGTGGTTATATCTTTCCTCATTGCAATTCCGTATAGAGTCCTTATAATTATTTGAACAATCTCTAGCTATTGCTCAATTTATAACTCATTAAATTTAAATTGTAGCAGAATTTTAATGACATATTCTCTTATTTTACGAATTATATTCAAAATAGCTATGTCGGTTAACAAATATTGCTGTGTTTATCAGTCGGAAATAAACCGGCCATTTAAATTAAAATATCTATTAAATGATTATGAAATAGCAAACATAATGATGCGACGTACGTGCGACTATTATTATCTGTTCGTTGTTTAAACGTGTAGACAATTGTAATAACATACACATAGACAATTACAATTATATATAGTCGCTGTTAAAGAGTTTGTTGTAAAAGCAAGACGCTTTGCCATATGTGTTTATTTACAACGTGAGATAAAAATTCGTGCAACCACCCAAACAAAATGTTTCGCCCCGCCAAGTTTCTTCGCATCTGGCGAGGTTCTTATCCTACGTATTGCACGAGCGATCGATGGATGATCTACCCGTTTGATCAGGTCACGTGATAGCATTGCACGTTCGAGAGACTTATTGTAGTGAGACCGTCTTCTGTATTTGAGCAATAACGATAGATCGTGAAACTTCCAACGGAATCTGCATGATGTGCGCGATGTTCGGAGAGAATCGTGCACTAAAAGTTAACTAACTATCGGAATTCTTTGACCCAGAAAAGAAACGCTCAAGTTAAAGAACTCAATTTTTTAGTAGAGTAATTTTTTACTCGTTTGATTGTTTATGGGAGAAATTTAATTAAGCAGTGGAATAATATAGGTATATGCTATATTATTACATATTTTTATAACACAATCATAATATCTGCAACAAGTCAATTTAAATATTTTCTTACCAGCGTCAAAGAATTGAGAAATGGAAAACTAAGCGAAATAGAACGGTTCCAAGTGTTTGTGTAGAAAAAAATTACTTTAAGCGGCACTTGCTCATGAAAACGTAAACACGTGCTGTGTAAGCTATCGTATCTACATTAATAGAATTTAGACAATTAGAATTTAATACTTTCGATATATCTGACAAAAAAATATTTCTTTCAAAAATTACCAATTTATCTGCGGTTCGTCAATCGTTAATTTAAATTGATTTTATCTCATCGAAAGTACACTCGTTTGCCAATGTTTGTCTTCGAACGTCTACGTCATAAAAACTATTTTTATTCTACAGTGGGCGGTGTCGTTCGCTCGTCCGAACATTATTCGGAATCTCTATAAAAGTTTTTTTCGCAGTCAGAATCACTTCTCGATAAACTTGACGCACAACATAACGTATAATATTATATCGTTGACATAACACTATGTCTCTTTTTTTAAGTAGAAAAAGTATTTTGCGCTTTTAAAATGCAAAAATCAAGCAATGATTTGTAATTTTAATATCATCCTTTTTGTAAATTACGCAGTTCTCGTTTCAAAGCGTAACATCAATCAATGATAACACATACGTTATGCTTTACATCGTGACATAATATACATTTCGCGAAGAGTGTTTTCGCATCTCTTCTCGATCGTGCATTGCTTTATTGCATCGTTGAGCGCCCGGTGTAGCCGGGCGTGGTGTCGCAATACTTCCTAGTACGGTCTCTGACCAGCTCATCGATAGACTTATTCTGCTGCATCGTCGTGGATAGGCTGTGAAGACGCGACGCCAAGTAGCACATGATGAAGGCCGATAACACCAACAGTACGCCCAATCCCGTCGCTACGTAAAGAAAATTCCCGCAGCTGCCTTCGAGGCCAGCCGCTACCTTGTCGTACAGTTCTATGATAATGAGAGGAATATTAATTAGAATTATAGCGATCGCGTAACGTCTCGCGTTCCTCGTTATCTAGACGCGAGACGCTTGATTAATCTCGATATATTCGCTGAATGCCAGTTTCATGTTAATCTGTCTCTTCCTCATGAATCTTGTCGCAGAGTTCCGTGAAAATTTATGTCAAGAAAATTAATCTCTATTATATGGGTAATACCGCAAATTAGCCGGTCTTCTCGAAGAGACCGTGATATCTTCACAGAATAAATTTTTTAAGGATAGAAAAAGAATTGATAACGCTAAAATTTTGTGTGTTAATCACTGTAATTAAAAATTAGCAAAAATGACTATCTTCAGAAAGAAGAGTGACGGCTTCAAAAAGTCGAATTTGAAAATATACATATATTTTAAAAGCTTATAAAGATATTTCTAAAAAAAAGGAAGATAATTTATAACAATTATTAGATTTTATGTAATACGTATAGTGAGAATAGAATAGAGTTTGAATAATTAATAAAAAAATATTGCATATATGAATTAATTTAGAAGATATGATATAAAATAACACATTTTGATTTTTCTTCCATATTCAGTAATATTAATCAATTTCCAATTACATCACTTTTAATTGTTAATCATGGGAATGTTTAAGTGTTTAAATTTTATATGAAGTAAGAAGAAAAATTAATCTGTAGCGTGTACTCACCTTCCGGCATTGTGACCGTATATTCAATGTTCTCCTTAAATTTCGTGTATGGCGTAGAGTCGTTATATCTTTTGATCAAACGCTCGACTCTCGGAAGAAACTCGCCTGATGCTTCCACATTTGCCTCGACCGCTGCTCTTTTCCTCTTTTTCCCATGTCCCGAGGGTTCGAAGAGATCCAGACAGAAGTCCTGTGAAAACAAAGAACTAACGGAATATAGGATACACATAACAGCAGAAAGTCCGATTATTTTCATACGTTGTACTCAATTTGCTGATCTTAATTTGTCGCTATACTCTTTTGTCATGGAGATTATCATAGCGGAGAGTTAAGGAAATTGATCTATTTTCCGACTAGAAATCGATAAGCAAGCTTTCCTGAAAAAAACGAAGGGAATTCTAAGGCAGTCTTATGTATAGCGCTTATTGCCTACCGGTTGACAGTCCTGCGGTTCCATGCACGCCTTTATCTGCGAATGAATCCAGAGGGTAGAGCGCTCTCTCATCGAGCTCAGCAGAAAGGCCTCGAAGTCGAGAAAGACTTCATTCTTGCGCTCGCGATACCGCGCCGGCTGATGCGGGATGATGGACGCGAAATCGCGATTCCTGCAGCCGTCCTTTACGAGCACGACGCTACCGTGAGCGTGTGGCTGATCCGGATCGGGACTGACCGTCACTTCCAGTAGTTTAATGTAACCCCAAGCGCTGTCCGGACTGATGCGGGCGCGCAGTTGTAGCTTCGTGCCAATCGGCACCGCCTGATCGACCGTCTGCGAGCTATCGGACACATTGCCGGTCGCCTCGCGATAAAGGGCCACTTCGTACTCGAGCCGGCCCGGCGTCTCCTCCACCACGCCGGACACCCTGGCGCCGTGCGGACTGAAACGATTAGCCCTTTAAAGCAGACGTGCGTCATCGCTTCAGCACATCGTGCTCTTTTGCTACTGTCTACTAATTATCAATCCAAACTTTTATTTGCAAATTTTTTTCAATTTATATGTATGATTATTTTTGCTGCAAGATATTTTTTATTTTTTTCTTATTCACTGTTATCCAAATAAAATCACACGGTGGATTAAAGTCAATTCTATAAAGTAAACGCGTGTTTTATGTATATCAATATGTATATCTGTTATTGTTAATTGAAACCGTTTGCTCTCTTGCAAATTTCTTTCATTCGTATCTTTTCGAAATATGTACGCGCATATTGTTTTCACGTCGAAAATATTTGACTTGCATACATGATGTCGCATTATTTTTACGACAGACATATGTTAATTATAATATAACCTTTATTGTTATTCGCGTTATTGTTGAAATAAACAGAGTAAATAATAACTGAACATTACATACGCGGACACACATTGTGCAGACTACTGCCGCGTACTGCATGGTGCATGGATAACAGTTTTCTCGACTCGCATAAGAACGCGCTCCGGCGAACGCGTACGCGGCGCGGTGTGGCGGAAATAATGCTCGTCTATTACTTGAGATTCGCCAAGATATCTCGTGCACGCGGAACAGACCGCGGTATGACTTACAAAGTGCCAGCGAAACCGGCAGCCTTGTGCCTCAGCAGCGTCGGCTCGGGCGGCCGGCACATCAGGATCAGCTCCTGGTCGGCCAGCATCACCACGCCGGGAAAAGCCGGGAACCACACTCGCAGATGAATGAATCCCTGGTGGCACGATTAATCGTAATTTATCGCGTTACGAGTCGCACAGCTAGTTTACTGAATAATAATAAGTATTTGTCAGGACTTTTGACGCGCTTATCGTCAAGCGGAACGGCATTCCGGTGAATGGATATTGAATTAAGTGCGATTTATCGTCCGGCGAGTCGCACACCGAGAGTCGTCAGTTAAATATCTCTTTTTGTCGAAATCTTATAACGGCGTTCAATGACGCTGCGATACGATCTGATTGGAGATGCATCGAGCGTTCCATATTGGTATCTACGATAACAGTTTCTAAGAGCAGAATCGACCGCTGAATTGGTAGTCGCTATCGACGGCGCAATCTACGACAGTAAATTGCGACCGCCGAGATCTGTTTGTGCAACGTCAGTCGTAAGTCCCGATGCGAATGCATCATCGGGGAGGGGGAGGAGGGGTGGGGGACGTAAAAATCAGTTCCGCGTAATTCGCTCGATCGGATGACTCACGTTTCTCTTGAGGATGCCGCATCGGGAGAAGTCAGTCACCTTCAGGAAGTAGTTATCCTCCTGCGGATCGTTCGGGTCCGGCCTGATCTGGCAGTGAATGTCGGCGAGCGGATTCGCCGATCTGTCGTCGGCAAAGAGCGGCGTACCTCTGAAGCCAACCGGCCTTTTGATCTTCGCTGTCAGAAGATCGGCCGCTGATCCTGCGCCGCTGCACTGAATGTCGGATACCTCGTAATCCTGGCCAACGGTGGCGGCGATCTGAAACCACGAGCCGAACAACGATAACGCAGCCGCGGGCGGCGGAAGATTTCGTCAACTTGCGCAACCGTATTTCTTTGGCGATACTTGAATTTTTTCTTCGAAAATATCGCAATATTGCGCGCGGCTCACATTCAGTCGCTTTTAAACAGCATTAAAGTAACATTCCTTGATCTTTCGTCGCTTCCTCTTGAATTTCGTTCATTTTTGTATTCATTGGGAAAGAATAGTTTGGATAGCGTATGCATAAAAATATTTTACGTTGCATTTTAATCGAGCGAGAATATATTACTCGATTAAAATGCAGCGTGCATCACGTTGTAGTATAAATTCTTCATCTCGGATATTGAAACAACGTATGATGCCGTGAAATGTTTTTATAGTCTCAATATTCATTTTGTCAAGAAACACCGCTTTAAAAGTGCATTTATGCATTTTGTAAACATTAATTATCTTCTCTTTTTCTTGATAACACATTTCACGTGTCACGGCGTAAACAGTATCGCATGATAACATAGTAGAGCGATAACTTACGCATAACTCGTATTTGGATCGTAAATAGAATTGTACATTACACTCGCATAAATAGCGGCTTAAAGCTTAACAACCGTATTGTTCCGTAACTGTTATGTAGCCAGCTTTTTTTTTCACGGCAATTTACTGCCGTTCAGTCGCGGCACTATAGCGGATTGCGCATTATTTTCAATTTTAAACAGATTTACTTTCTAGAAGAACTCCGCGCTGCCCCGATTCGCCAAAATTGAAAATAAACGCTTTGAACGATTGAAATCGGTCTTGGCGGGCGGTGTAGATTTTGGGTCGAGTTACATAAAGCAAGTCGGACGAAACGTTAAAGGTTGATTTCTTATTTAGATCTAAGACAAATATTTTTACTAATCGAAGAATATCTGTTTTGTCAATAGCTTTGAGTTCTAAATTATGAAAGATGTGCAATTGAAGAGTTATGTTTGATATTACAATTGCAAAGTCACATTGCAAAGGATATTGAGGCAGCACCTCTATAAGTTGATCTGAATTGTTGCAAAAAAGGTTAATAGCTTATACAACGGACAATTGCTGATTTTATCATTGCAACATTGTGTTATCGCGTTTATTCAACAGTCTCATTTGTTTTATTTAAATCTACACGTTTACACGAGCAATACGAATATGCAAATTATTCTTCCTTGCTAATCGTCTCTTAATTGGTACTTTGTGTGTATCATGCGAGGTTCTCGGCCATTTGCCCCGCGTAAGCGTGAAATCAAATATACGTTTATTACACTCTCTCGCAGCGCGATAAAAACGATGAAGCGTCTAATTAATCTATGTTAAGATACTCGGGACGCTTTTCATCGGCTAACATACGCCATCAATTATCGCTGTGAAAAAACCTGCTCGGTAACTCGGAAACGACCTCGGCACCGATGACGTTTACAACGTTGCCATTGGTAAGGAACAGGGTGACCAGCGCGCGACCAGAACCAAGAACCCACTTCGATACCGGGTAACGGTGTAAGGAAACGCTCTGGTGGCCGCGTAAGATATTCGTTATGTGTATCATATACGTTATATATTGCTCGAGTGCTCGCTCAGCACTACTCGTGCTCATCGTACGGGTCACGGTAGGCCGTATTTTTCGCGATAGCTCCCTCGCGTTCATGGATACCGTATCGCGGATATCAGATCGGCCCATAAGTGCATTTATATTTACTGCATGAACGTGTCCATTGTGAACAGTTTCTCGACGAGGATAAAATAAAAGGATCGAGACGATGCAGATTATCGACGATGAGGAACAGTATTATTATTATTATTATTATGAGAAGTATTGTATAAGTAAAAAAATAAAAAAAATTTTTTAACATTTTTTTGGGAATATAAATTTGGGAAATATTCTTAGTCCAATAACTATTTAAAAGTTTGTATTGCTTGTCACAGATGTGTAAATTTCAATAAAATGATTGAGACTTGAATATAAATGCAATGATGTGTTCTGACGATAAAATCTGTAACTGTCCATTGCTATTTCCGTATATCGGTATTTAAGTAATTAACTAATTAACTAAAATCCATGTTCCACTGCAATTCGGGATAACAGTATTAAAATCTAATTTTAAATCTGAAATAAATTTAAATCGCTAAATTCATAGAGCGTTAAGTTCATAGATTCATGGTTGCGTAGGTAGCTAGCACAAATCGTTAAATTCATAAACGCGTAGATGGTTCGAGCTATAGATCGCTGGATTCGTGCACCGCTAGATTTCTAATTGTAAGTCAAGAATTGTTAAAATCTTTAAGGCTGTTAATCGCCTAGAATCGTAGATCCAACAAAGCACTTGATCGATAAAGTTTTACAGTTACAAATTCTGAAAGTTTATAGACCCTATCTGAATAAGAGCAATTTGTCTCTATTGATTTTTAGCAACGATTTATATCATAAATAATATAATATGTCTTTGTCTAAAAATATTATTAATATGATATAAATATAGAAACATCACTTATTATTTATGATATAAATATTTAATTACATTAGTAACATGAGAAGAAGCAGAATAATTTTTTTCTACAATAGAACTTTTATTCATTAAACGAAAACTTGACTTTTTATTTTTATCGCAATTTCTGCTCTCCATACGGCTTCAAACTATTAATCACTATATATCTTGCTTAAAAAAAAAACGATAAAGTTAAAAGTAGTTACCGTCTTTGTAGATTACGCGAGATCGTAAGCTAAAGGATGTAATATCAGACGTTATTTCAGGACGAGGATTAACTTGTGAGGAGCCTTGTTAATCCGAACGCAATATCGTATTTAAAAAGCTAGACTTAATCGAATGAAATTTTTCTCTTAAACCAAGTGTTCCTATTTTATCATTGTATAAAAAACTCAATCTTTGTATAAAACTACTAATAGTTTTCCAATTCAGTTACACACACAAATATATATACATATATGT